CAACACTGCAGAAACTTCCAAATCCTACCTTGGATATAGAATGACTTTCAAAAACGTTTAGTGGCCTCAGTAAGACGAAGGTGCCAGGCACCTTCAATACACAAGGTAGACCCTCCCTCCTGACCTGTGAACGTGCTTATGGACCCCCTCTTGTGTTGTAGCTCGTTTGCATATGCCAGATGCGCATATTTCTCTTTCCATGTAAAACATTTCATTCTCGATGGTAAAAGTTTAACACTGATTCTGTTTTTTTTTTGTGAGTCACGATAACCTTTGCCTTTGAGTATATATACTCGGCGTCATCACTGAAAGGTCAAGCTATTGATAACGCTATCCCTTAAAAGTTGTAAAATCTTCATTTTTGTTTGAAATATATACAACGGGATGTTTTACAAACTTTCTTAACAGTATGTAAAAACACAGCAGGCAGTTATGTCATTATTACGTTCTTTTACGTCTTATACATTCTGTTACAAATGGCACATTTTCTATTCAAATTTTTAATGGAAATCCACCTGCCACTTAATGTCAATGGTTTGCACGTGCAAGTCTCTCTATCCATGGAAAGTGGAGGACAATACACATGTATTGATGCCTTTTCACTGTCGTTCACTGTTCCGGTACCTGTTTGAAATCACAGCTTAAAATGAGACGTTGTTTGACACTTGCTGATTAGGCCTTTTGGAATCTGGTCAAACTCAGCGGCAGACTGCTGTCCGCTTTAATGTGAGTCAGAGTGCTATTGGTTGACTGTGGCAGATATTTAAAACTAATGGGTCCGTGGAATATGATTAACACTGCATTACGTAACAGATTCCTTAAAGCAGCAGACACTTCAGACTTTTGTCGCTACTATTTTCATGAAAAACGGCATTCTGATGTCGAGAAACACGTGTATTTCCTGATTAGTATTTTACATCACTCTTTCTAGACGATGTTGAACTGCTTGACAAGGGACAGGAGTCTGGAACAAATAGAGAAAAGTGTAAATAGATACAGTCTCATATCATATAACTTGGTGACAATCGACTCGGTCATGTAACTTGGTGAATGGCTTCCGTTCTTTTGAGAAAGGCGGTCATATTATGGCGTTTGTGACCATGTTGAGTGAGTGAGTGAGTCTAGTTTTACACCGCACTCAACAATATTCCAGCCAATGGTGGCGGTCTGTATATAATTGAGAGAGAGAGAGAGAGAGATAGAAAGAGAGAGAGAGAGAGAGAGAGAGAGAGAGAGAGAGAGAGAGAGAGAGAGAGAGAGAGAGGAGGGAGAGAGAGAGAGAGAGAGAGAGAGAGAGAGAGAGAGAGAGAGAGAGAGAGAGAGACAGAGAGAGACAGAGAGAGAGAGAGAGAGGGGGGGGGGGGGTTAGTCCAATCCAGCAAAAGATAATATACAGGGGGCCAATTCCGCTTTCCGCAATCTACAAGACTGGCGACGTGGTTGAATGACCATATGAACCCAGGCATTGCAAGAGGAATGGGCCATAATTCCACAAGGTCGAATTCAAAAGACTTAGTCAGTCCAGGATTGGGCTTCATACCCATGTAAGGAAACGAAACAATGTTTTCTTCGGGACGGGCAAACGCTTTAACCATAAGACTAAACCACTGCCCTAGGGAGAATCCACTCACGATTTGCAGATGAGGTCGCAACCGCTGGTGAGAAGCGCATTGTTGTGCAGGATGGCGTTGCACTCATTCTCACAGACGACCTCGCTGGCGTTAGGTCCCACGGTGTCAACAATCTTACGGACAACGGACATCGGATCGAGCGGCAGTGTATAGGGCATGCTCACCGCTGAATATAATTAAGAAATACACTTCGCTCTACCACCATTTCTTTTCTAAGATGCCAAATTTAATACTTTCTAAAGATAATTACGATTAATTTAAGGCAGAAAACAAACGACGGTGTCGGTGACCTAAATTAAGAATCCTCGCACAGGGCTAACTGGCGCGCTGTTCTATTGATGTGTCTGCCCCCCCACGTTAAGACGAACGTTACCAGAAAAAAACAAATGATAACAGTTTGATGACGGTTTACGTTCGGATTAAATATCTTCTCTGAATTATTTTAATTACATCTGTCATGAACGTAAACCATATGGGGCAATATGAACGTTGCATTTCTACTACCAGCGTAAGTTTAGATCAGTACATCCAGAGGAAGTTGAGTAGTCAAGCGACATTCCACAATTGCATTGTGGGAATGTAAACATTACGAACGTTACCGTGTCGCTGAAAACTTGCGAGTCGAAATGACACATTTCAACCGTCGAAAAACATAAACGTAATGTTTCCACCAGTGATGTTAGCTGCGTGAAGCAACAGCAAACCAAGAAACTGGATGCAACGGTGTAGTTTACTGTAGGAGGCCGTACGAGGCGATGACAACTGACATGCATCGTGACGTCGCTTACATTGTGACGTAATGTAAAATGGTTCGATTACGAGGGGGCACACTAGAATGGCGCAGTGACAGGATAACGTCATTCAATTCTTACGTCATCAAAAAACTATACCTTTATTGTCTGATAATGTATTTTTTTTTCGATTGTTCTAACCGCTAGGCATCTTAGAAACACAAATAACTCATAACTAAATATGAAGGTTTCATTACAATGCGTTTGAATACTGCACAAAATATCTTTCACGTGTTTAATAAATATGTTATTTCACGGAAGCGAGTTTAGTATTCTGTATATTACTCTGCAACATATATTGATAGAAACTGCCTACAGTGTAATGACTCGCAGCTGTCCACGAGTCAAGCAAGGTCTTATACCATTGTGACAGAGGTATTAGCATTGTGACGTCATAACTGCAAACCATTATGACGTCATACGTGTAGCCTTATTACACTAGTGTAATATTGTCGTAAACATATATCACTGTAGTATTTTACACGGGCGAGTAATAAATGCAAAGTATGACACCAGCGGAAGGGACATAACTGTGCATAACAAACCTTGGAGCGGGTTGATATTATCAAATGCGAGGATAAGATTCACGATCGATCAAGTCACAATATAAGGTAACCAAGGAAGCATATTTGAAGCCAGCCAATGAGGGCGGGTGTTGGTTGATATTGTCCAATGAGAGGACGTGTTATACTCACGGTCGATCAGGCCACAAACCAGAGGCAGGAGCACGAGGATCAGAAGGGCGAATTTCATGGCTGCTGATCTGAATGTACAGAGTGTCACATCGGTGTGACTCGATGACGTAATTTTATGACGATGTCGTATTGGACATAGTCGCTGTACTCATTACTATCTGCTAAAATCAAATGAGGGATGGACCTCCCATGTGTGTCTCTTGCGATGAAGTGTTCACCCTCAAGCATATTCTACTTGACGGTGTGGACTTTTCGACTGCAAGGGATTCACATTTTGATGCGAGAAATCTTAAAGATCTGTTTTCCCGCGTCAGCGGGCATCTCATTGTTAACTACCTGAAGGAAGTTGACCTGTATTATAAATTGTAACTATGTAATGTGAATAACTAATTGATTGCTTTTGAATTTGGTGCTATGACATTTTCTGTTTTTAAATAATAATGTAGTGAATATATATCTTTTTAAAAATAAAACTCATTTGGACTTCGTACTTAAAATGTTTATGAAAGCAGACTTGATCTCGTCACTATATGGCTGGAATAATGCCGATGTGACGTAAAGCCAAACTCAAACTCAAACCTACAAAAAATGGGCCTAACACTTTGTACCCATTTTTGGAATCGAAACCGAACCTCTCGTGAGACCATCGGACTGGTCAACCACTAGGCTACCCACTGCAAGACACTGACATGTGAATGGTTGCAACTTACCGTAGTAGTAGACGACGCTGGAGACAGAGTGGGAGTTGAGGGCGACTTTTATAGGTTCCACCTCCAAGATAACCTTGCCCATCCTAATTCCAATATTTAAACAGAACTTGGTCTGTCAGTCAATTTGCATATGCAACATACTTGCATTTTGGGCACGAGGGGTCAGATAATGCAGCAGAAGGTCAGACCACCCAGTCACGATTTAATCAAACTGTGCAACGTTGCTGGAACCATGGATTACATTCAACCAACATCTCATTCATCCAATTTTCAGGGTTTTTTTTAAAGGACATTAATGTTGAGAGACAGTCCATTGTTATTTTTATACCATTATCTGAATTTGTATTACAGGAGCAATCCTGGTTCCAGTCTACGTCAGTGACGTGTAGTTCACTACGTGTAACATTACTATAGAGAATATCGCATGAGTTCTCGTTAGAAACTGTTGCAGGTACTGTGGGAAATTCGGGAGTGTCGTAAAAATATTATGTAAGTAGAACAACTATGGTATGTTTAACCCTGTAGTTTAAATGTCGCTAGATTATAAAAACTTTCGTTTGACAGACAAATCCAAAATGGTGAATGGTTCAGCATTTACATCGCTTTTAGCAATTGTATTTTAACACTTCAGGGCATTGAACATGGGTCTGTGGCTGGAGGAGTGAACGCCTTAACCATTTAACCACAACGCTGCAGAAACTGCCAAATTCTACCTTGGATATAGAATGACTTTTATCAAGTTTAGTGGCCTCAGTAAGACGAAGGTGCCAGGCCTACGTCAATGCACAAGGTAGACCCTCTCGCCTGACCTGTGAACGTGCTTTTGCATATGCCAGACGCACATATTTCTCTTTCCATGTAAAACATTTCATTCACGACAGTAAACGTTTAACACTGATTCTGTTTGTTTTTGTAAGTCACGATAAATGTTGTCTTGGAGTGTACATGTAAATGTGTTGTGGGTAATCATCATTTGTCTTTTGAAAAGGTTAAAAAACTTGGAATGACACACAGGAAAAATCTCTCAAACGTTTCAAAAATTCCTGATCATTGAGTTCACTTTGAATTTCAGCAGGTAAACCTTCATCAAAGGCAAAAAGACATACGGTTTGCCTTGAAACGAAAGAAAATTTCATTTTCTCGGCGTTCTTTTTTTCATGAAAAACGGCAACATTCAGATATCCTGACATTTATTTCCCGATTCGTCTTTTACATCACTCTGTCTAGGCGATGTGGAACCGCTGAACAAGGGACTGGAAGCTGGAAACAATATAGAGGAGTGTAAATATATAAAGTCATATATCATGTAACTTGGTGAAGTCTGGACCAGAAAATCCAGTGATCAACAGCATGAGCATCGATCTACGCAATTGGGATACGATGACATGTGTCAACCAAGCCAGCGAGCCTCACCACTCGATCCCGTTAGTCGCCTCTTACAACAGGCATGGGTTACTGAAAATCAGTTCTAATCCGGATCTTCATGGGTGACCATGCTGAGTTAGTATTTTAACAATGGTGTGTTCGAGTATCGACAAGGCAAACCAGTGGTTGATATCAGGAATGAAGGGTCAGAGAGAGAGAGTGAGTGAGAGAGAGAGAAATAGAGGGAGAGAGAGAGGGGGGGAAATAGAGAAATAGAGGGAGAGAGAAATAGAGAGATAGTGGGAGAGAGAAATAGGGGGAGAGAGAAATAGAGGAAGGGAGAGGGTGAGTGAGTGAGAGAGAAATAGAGGGAGGGAGAGAGAGGGGGAAAATAGAGAAATAGAGGGAGAGAGAAATAGAGAGATAGTGGGAGAGAGAGAGATAGATAGAAAGAGAGAGAGAGATCCATCCATCCAATCCATCAAACGATACTATACGGGGGGCCAATTCCACCCGGAACCTTCGCGGCGGATTCGGCAAGGGAAATGAGAACACTGTCCAACACATTGTTGAATACTGTAAAGATATTGGATATAGGCTTGTATCGCTTTCCTTAATATGTCTGCAATATCGCGACAATAACGTTCGATCCTGGAATCTACAAAACTGGCGACGTGGTTGAGTGACCATATGAACCACGCGTTCTGCTTCAATGCCATGACGTTTGAAACTGCCGCAGGCATTGCAAGTGGAATGGGTCAGAATTCCACAAGGTCGAATTCAAAGATTTAGTCAGTCCAGGCCGAGACGGTGCAAAACTTCACGATGGATTCAACAAGAGAAATGAAAATAATTACAAAAATAGAGTTTGGCAGTAGCCTTATGCCGCTTTTTGCAATATTTATGCAAAATGAGGGCGGCAAAATGGGCTTCATACCCATGTGTGGAAACGAACCAATGTTTTCAGCATGACGGGCAAACGCGTTAACCATTAGGCTAAACCACTTTCCTAAGGATGAGAATTCACTCACGACTTGCAGATGAGGTCGCAACCGCTGGTGAGAAGCGCATTGTTGTGCAGGATGGCGGTGCACTCATTCTCACAGACGACCTCGGTGGCGTCAGATCCAACGGTGTCAGCAATCTTCTGGACAACGGACTTAAGCTCTCCCAAGTCAAACAAGTGTTTGAACTCTGAATATAAACACACGCCACACACAAATGTGTATTGAATATGAAGGTTTCATTACATACGGTTACATACGGCAGTTTTGAAAGACCTAACTTGTTCCAGAGGGGTAAAATGTTATGGATGTACAAAAATGACACCAGTGGATCCTTTCCTCTAAAGTACATATTACTGTGCATAAGAAGTCTAAAAGCCTTATACTACTTAGAGTGAGTGAGTCTGGTTTTACGCCGCTTTTAGCAATATTCCAGCAATATCACGGTGGGGGACATCCGAAATGGGCTTCACACATTGTACCCATGTGGAGAATCGAACCCGGGTATTCGGCGTGACGAGCCAACGCTTTAACCACTAGGCTACACCGTCGCCCCTATATTACTTTGAAATCCAAACATCTTTCACAGTAAATTACAAAGAACATATACAATGAATATACCGAATAACGTCAAGTTGTATTTCTGAAGCAAAGGCAGCTATCAATAGAGACATATACACCTATAAATATCATAATTTGTCTTCTCTTTCCTTGACATTTCAAACGGACAGTCAGCTAGATTTATAAAGGTGGTTGAGCTTCTTGGTGACAACCATGCACATCTGGTTTACCGAAGATGAGATCATTCATTTCGACAGAGCAGGAATCCCATTGCGGTGGTCAATGAGAAGTGTTTCATGTTGGCCAGTAAGAGTAAACATTATGAAATACAAACCAGTGAGAGGATGCGCATAATATCACTAGCGAGCCAATGAGTGGTTACGCTACATAACCAGACTAGACATTGTCGTCACTAGCCAATGAGAGCAAGCGTTTCACGAGCCAGTAAGTGTGACACAAGCCATTGGGGTTGTAGGTTACATAGGATGAGCAGATGTTGTTTTAAGACACTCACAAAGGAGAAACATGCGTCACATTATGCCACCCAATGAGAGCAAGTGTTGGTGGATATTATCCAATCGTAGGATTTGTTATATCATAATCACGGTTGCTAGAGTGACAGTACGAGGAACCATGTTTGAAGCCAGCCAATGAGAGCGGATGCTGGTTGATATTATCCAGTGAGAGGATATGTTACATAAGAATCACGATCGATGAAGTCACACTATAAGGTAACCAAGGAAGCATGTTTGAAGCCGGCCAATGAGGGCGGGTGTTGGTTGATACTGTCCAATGAGAGGACGTGTTATACTCACGGTCGACCAGGTCACAGTAAACCAGGGGCAGGAGCACGAGGATGAGAAGGGCGAATTTCATGGCTGCTGATCTGAATGTACAGAGAGTGTCACATCAGTCTGACTCGACTACTCACCAAATGGGTCTTCCTAACTGTATAATTCATAGATTGCTAGATGAGTGGGTGAATATAATGAGACCTCCTTGACTACATAATCTTCATTTCTTTCACTAACTCGTTTCGAAAGCTCTGCCCATGTTGCTTATTTAGACAAAAAGACAGAACGCATGTAAATAAGGTGAATAATACAGCGAAGTACACAGGTGGCAGATCTAAGGGAATGGTGCTCCCGTACAGGCGTATGCTGCTGTAGTCATTGTGTGAGTGAGTGAGTGAGTATGATTTTATGCCGCTTTAGCAATATTCCAGCAATGTCACTGCGTGGGAGACTAGAAATGAGATTCACACATTGTACCCATGCGTGGAATCGAACCCAGATCTTCAGTGTGACGAGCGGATGTTTTAACCATTGGGCTAGCCTACTGGCCCCTTTACCCACTGATAATACACAGTATGGCTTCTGGTAGTGTTAAGAAGAAATGTGTTCTCTACGCTTCGAACAAATATTTACAATCACTATACATATTATATTATACATAACCTGACTGCCATACAGACATCTACTGGAGAACAATGGTCGCTGTGAATTTTTCATTCAGTTATGAGTAAAATTTGACGCCGTTTTGACCACTATTCCAGCAATATCCAATTGACCAATCTTGCAAAAATAGGCCTAGCACTTTGTACCCATCATGGGAATGGAACCCGAACCCGAGACCATCGGACTGGTGTATCCACTAGGCTACCCACTGCAAAACACTGACATGTGAATGGTTGCAACTTACCGTAGTAGTAGACGACGCTGGAGACAGAGTCGGAGCTGAGGGCGACTTATATAGGTTCCACTCCAAGATAACCTTGCCCATCCTAATTCCAATATTTAAATAGGACGTAGTCTGTCAGCCAATTTGCATATCTATGCAACATACGTCTACGTGTTTTGTGAGCACGAGAGGTCAGTGTCAGATAGTGCAGCGGAAGGGTGAACGTCCACGTCAGACCACCCAGTCACGATTTAATCACACTGTGCAACGTTGCTAGAACCATGGATTACATTCAACCAACGTTGAAGGACGTTGATGTTGAGAGACAGGCCGCTGTTATTTTAATAACATTTTCTGTGAATTCTATTACATGTGTAATCCTGATTCCAAATTACAATGCCAGTGACAATATGTAACATTACTGTAGAGAATATCACTCGTGTCCTCGTTAGCTACTCCTGCAGGTGCTATGGGAAATTCGGAAGTGTCGTTAAAATGTTATCTAACTAGATGTTTTTCCATGATACGCTCACTCTTTCCCATCCTCATTTGTTCTAATCATTATCTGATAGTGATTCACGTCCTTGAGGCATGCTTGGAATCGTAGGGGTGGTGGGGTAGCCTAGCGGTTAAAGCGTTCTCTCGTCACGTCGAAGACCCGGGTTCGATTCCCTGCACGGGTACAATGTGTGAAGCCAATTTCTGGTGTCCCCATCGTGATATTGCTGGAATATTGCTAAAACCAAACTCACTCATTCACTTTGAGTCGTACAACGGACTCAGCTTTTAGGGAAATAATTAATGCGATTATTTTTTATTATTTGCGTCGCTTGTCTTCGGTGATGTCCAGAGATTTATACATTTAGCATCTCACCATCTGTCTCTTCACGTACTGATTATGTAGGTCCGCCCAGGTATCACATACATTCTGTCTCTTCACGTACTGATTATGTAGGTCCGCCCAGGTATCACATACATTCTGTCTCTTCACGTACTGATTATGTAGGTCCGCCCAGGTATCACATACATTCTGTCTCTTCACGTACTGATTATGTAGGTCCGCCCAGGTATCACATACATTCTGTCTCTTCACGTACTGATTATGTAGGTCCGCCCAGGTATCACATACATTCTGTCTCTTCACGTACTGATTATGTAGGTCCGCCCAGGTATCACATACATTCTGTCTCTTCACGTACTGATTATGTAGGTCCGCCCAGGTATCACATACATTCGTCTGAATTGAGTCATAGGACTCCCAGAAACCACTGGCACTATATGAGAGGAGGTCTGCCATTCAGATTTCTACCATCTGTCAACTTTTAACGGATACCTGTTTAGTGATGCTTAAAGGAGAATACGAACGAAAACAAAACTTTTGAGAGGGGTAAAGTTTTGCATAACACTTCAGAATGGGCTAGGTAGCTTGTCTCCATGCTGGTAGCACTAGCGATGACCATCGTGAACCTTACATTTTCTTAAGTATGAGGTTGTGGCTTGTGTTATTTATGATTTTGGAGATACATTGAACAAACAAACAAAATATATGATCAACCTCAATCTGGGAGGAACTATGTTTCTTAAATGTATTCTTTAACACATGACCCGCGAAGAGTTAGAATTGGTTTTAAGCGACCCATGTTTGTCGTAAGAGGCGACTATCTGGATCGGGTGGTCAGGCTCGCCTCAATCAATGTGCCTCTTTGGCACCAACATTTGTGTAGAGCCATCTTTCTCCACTTCTAAATTTGTAGAACAAGTTTTCCTGCTTGAAATCATACAAATATCTCCCATTTCCTGCTGATATTGATACCCATGAAGATCCGGGTTATAATCTTTAGCAACCCATGCTTGTCGTAAGAGGCGACTGACAGGATCGGGTGGTCAGGGTAGCTTACTTGGTTGACACATGTCATAGGTTCCCAATTGCGTAGATCGATGCTTATGCTGTTGATCACTGGATTGTCTGTTACAGACCGCCGCCATATAATATATGGAATATTGCTGAGTGCGGCGTAAAACTGAACTCACTCACTCACTAGTAAAGTACAGATTCTATTAATTTTGTTGGGTTGAGTCGCAATCCACACTCTCAGAGTCCGGTACCTAATCGCCAGCACACAAAGTAACCCGCTCAGCCACCGCGACTTCCACAAAAATGGAAGTCGGACAACTGGTAGTCTAGACTTCGGACTTTGTGTTCCCCTCTGATAAGCGTAAATTGGCACGGCTCCCAAGGCCAAAAGCTATGGTGACACAATGCCATTTAGTAAGTGGTCAGATGTAACATATGTTATATTTGGGATTACACTTTCTGTGTAAAGTACATGCAGATTCTAGTACTTTTGTTGGGTTGAGTTCCCATCCGGGATTCGAACCCACACCATCAGAGTCAGGCACCTAATCGCCAGGACACAAAGTAACCCGCTCAGTCACCTCGACTTTACTAAGACAGTGTAATCCCAAATATAGCATATGTTACATTTGACCACTTTCTAAATGACATTGTGTAATCACAGTCAGTATTAGTTGACTATCCCTGATGTCAGAAGTGCTGAACATAGCAGGACAAACAGTCATTTTTCTCTGATAATGGTGACGATAACGCACTATATTTACTTCATGAGTTACATTGTCACCTGAGAATGTCCTTGACACCTTAAATAGGGGTCCACAACATGCAACAACAGCTCCTGAAACTAACATTCAAACATGATGGCATATGAACTACGGAAATGTTCATCCTTCGTAACATGTTTTATTCAGCAAAGAATAGCCTTGCCTTGCTCCAAGGCTGTACTGACTGCTGAGCCCATGGAGGTATGGTAATTCTATCCTTTAAAGAGGCAAGTATAAGCGGACGCCAGTCTGTTATTCATATCTTTTACAAATCATCAATTAAACTATAAATTATTACCTTACAGACTTGTGCAAGTCTACCATCCCCAACCGACCCCAGTTCTACTGAATCACGTTCATGAACATCTGCTGATGATTTGTACAATGAATCACTTCCTGTGACAAGCCTCTGCTGTTCGTTGTACAGAATTGTTTGAAACAAGGCTACCCTATATACAATATCAGGCCTCCGCCCCTCTCACCCAAGTCTAAGACTGATCCTATTACCATCGACATCACTTAGAGGCTGTGTGTGTGAAACCAAAGCAAACCCGTCGATACGGTTACCTACCGCTAATATTGGCATTGTCCCTTGTAACGAAACATGCAGCTTCGCGGAATACGACTGAGTTTAGTTTTACGCTGCTTTTAGCAATATTCCAGCAATATCACGGCGGGGGACACCAGAAATGGGCTTAACACATTGTGCCCATGTGGGGAATCGAACCCGGGTCTTCGGCGTGACGAGCCAACGCTTTAACCACTAGGCTACCCCACCGCCCCTTATCTGTAACTGAAGGTGACTACAATTATGTGATGAGAGTGTGTGAGTGAGTGAGTTTAGTTTTACGCCGCACTCAGCAATATTCCAGCTATATGGCTGTCTGTAAATAATCGAGCCTGGACCAGACAATTCAGTGATCAACATCATGAGCATCGATCTACGCAATTGGGAACCGATGACATGTGTCAACCAAGAAAGCGAGCCTGATCACCCGATCCCGTTAGTCGCCTCTTACGACAAGCAACGGTTTCTGAAGTTCATTCTAACCCGGACTTATGTGATGAGAAATATATTACACATATATCCGGATTCGAACCCACACTGGCCGTGGGCAGTTATGTAGCTGAAACTGACAGTGTGGCTTAATAAAAAATAATACAAGTACTAGAATCTGTACTTGTTTGAGCAAGTGTAATCCCACATATAGCATATTCTACATGTAAATAAGCTGCTTTTGGATACTAAATGACTATTTGGATTTGATACAATCTATCTCTTAATTGGGCGGTGGGGTAGCCTAGTGGTTAAAGCGTTCGCTCGTCACAAGGAGCACCCGGGTTCGATTCCCCACATAGGTACAATAAGTGAAGCCCATTCTGGTGTCCCTCGCCGTGATATTGCTGGAATATTGCTAAAAATCCGCGTAAAACTGAAATCACTCGTAATAACCATAAGAGGATTTTACTTTTTACTAGCCACGTCTTTTCATTTTCCCTGGTGTGTAGACAAGCAGGTGAACTTGAAACAGGTGTTCGAAATGCGTCGCAGTTACCGAACTGAAGGGCACCCGTGAAGAGCCACCTCCTCGTGGTGGGTGCTGTTTAATGCTGAGGGCTCTTCAAGACCCGGAGTTGTTGGCGACCTATAGCTCGTTTTTATATTGTATTGTCTTCATAAATAAAATAGTTTTAATTGTACATGCTAGTTTTAGACTCCATCTGTGATACTCTAGTTAATTTACAGCCCTTCGATGACTGATTATTTAACAACTTAAATTGATTGTTTATGTAAAACATTTCTCGTCACTATATGGCTGATATATTGCCGAGGTGACGTTAAATTTTAACTCACTCACTCACCGAACTGAAGTTTATCTCAGATTCATCTTACAACTGTTTTTGGGCGGTGAGCTAGCCTAGTGGTTAAAGCGTTCGCTCGTCGTGTTCTATTCCCCACACGGGTACAATGTGTGAAACCCATTTCTGGTGTCCCCCGCCTGATATTGCCGGAATATTGCTAAAAGCGGCGTAAAATTATACCCACTCACACACTACAACTGTTTCTAAGATGTTTACATATATCATTGTGATATCATGATCCCATAAACATGCAAATGAGGTCATATGACAGGAACTAAACTAAATATTTTTCTTGAAAACAGCGTTAAAATTAGAAAAGAGTTTTGATTGTGACTTACAAGTCACAAGCATTGTGTACGTGTTGCAATAACACCAGATATCTTACCAAATTACAATGTTGCTAGCAAAATATTTGTTTATTTGGGAATAGTCTCAATACACCAGGTGTGTACTTTCTTTTGTACATCAGTATATTTTTATATGAGAAAAGATATTTTATCCTGATGTGTGAGGGCTTCTGTGAATATTGGTGGTGCAGATCAGTTGACACTATATAACACATGGAGCAGATCACTCAGGCACAGTGTACAATCAGCGGGGGTGTTTTTCTCTCCATTTCTTGCTAGGTTACTTTGTTGAATGTTTCTATTTTGTACAGAAGGATACAATATGACAAGGAGATTATAACAGACAGAAAATAATCAGCACTTTCGGACGATGAGAACTCATGATTTTGTATATATTTTGTTCATGAAATATACTCATGCAGAATCTTCAGATGAGAAGTGGAATATCCTGGTAAAAGTGATCCGGATTATGACATCTTTCTCGTGGTATGCACAAACACATTGTTGTTACCTCCCCTTCGAACATGTGTTCGGGGATTTAAAGATGTTTACAAACAATCCCTGCGAATCTGTTGTAGAAGCTGTTATCTGTACTCAAATCATAGCTACTAAATATAGAAGCTACGTGACAGCTGTAATATTCTCAAGCACCCCGATTGCTTGCGTTTGCCAAGCTGGAAAAGTAGCAGCGTGAGTGGCTCGAGCTATTGAACTGGCAATTTAGAACTAAAACCCTGCACTGCAGCACACAGTAACAGCTACAGCACAAACTGAAAGGTGTCCGATGCATCTGATCCATGTTTTGCGAAGATATATACCCGATGAACTATAACAAATTCACATTTTAGCTCAAATACAACTGTTTGGCTAACTTATCATATGTCTAATATGTCTATGTACAGAGATTATTACACGACCAAGTGTGTCATACGACTTATACGAAACGAGTGTACAATTTTGTATTGCCCGAGCGAGAGCGAATGCAAATATGATATATATGACACTGGTTATTTTTCACCATATGAGTAATGAAAAAACTCTTAATCTATTCTCTAAAATGTATGTGCTTTGACATTAAGATAAATGATATTTCAAGATAACAAGGACTTAGTTTAGTTCCTTAATTTTGAAATATGTGATATTTCTAGGTAATAAATTTGGAAATGAGAGCATACATTTAGGGCTCTATCATGATCATTGCAAGATAAATTCCTCAGCCAGTTACAATGGTTTCTAGAAGACATTTTTATCTCATTCATCTTTGAATACACACAACAGCAGTGTAACTACAGAGTGCAGTGACAGGGTGATATAAATTCTGTTATAAAATTTGATTTTCTTTTCTTGTTTGCAGATAACAATGCAAGCTTTCCCACGGACGACATGTCACTTAAACACCTGGTGTCGCAGACAATGGTTTCATCGCACAGTGAACAAACTCCAAGATTCAATACCACAACGTACAAATCCACTCCAAATTCAAATGCTCTCTGAAACTTTACATAAACAAATTTTCAAAGAAACAGAAATTGCCGAAACGTTAAATAAAACTTTAAAGTCTGTGGAAAATCATCTCCAAAAACATGGTTTATGGAATCGTGCCACCACAGTTCTTGATGATGTTGATTTAAAACTACCCCCACTTCAAGGCAACTCCATCGATGAACATTTCTACAAGATAGCTGAACAGCAAATAGCTGTGTATAAGTCTATGGCGGAGAGCCTATGCAGCTCAGAAACACCACCACTGCCAGATGAGTGGGTCTACAGCAAGGGTTGGACAAAGTACCACCCCGACGGATCTACCACAGCAGTGCCGTACCCAGAAGAAACAGCCATCGTGTTTGATATTGAATGCTTGATGACTGAAGGACAGTTTCCTACCATGGCAACAGCTGTTTCAGATAAATACTGGTTGGTAACATGTTAATAAGAAGAATGTAAAATAAAGTTTATGATGTATTTTTAACTTTTAACTGTCATTTCTGTAAATGACATGTCTAGGAAGATAGAGTTCACTTATCAACTTGATTCAATTCCCTTTTCAAGCACTTCAGTTTTCACCATGAACACTGTTATAGTCCAAATGTGAACAGTTGGAAAATGCCTGATCCCTGTATTCTGATCCTATTCATAGCTATTGAATTAACTTCAGGGACCCATCACAACCTCTGCTTTTAAACAGATGTAAATGAGGACAGTTTGCAAAAAGGTGCCTCACTCTTGAAATAAATACCTAAAGTGTACCAGAATCTGTACTTACCTGAGAAAATGTAATTACAAAGATCACATTCCTTATCCTGACTCATGCTAATTATGCTTGTCTCCTTCCTCTTTGCTCTTATATCTGAATGATAGTGGAACACTTGAAATCCCTTTGAAGTTCCCTTCTAAAAAGCGGACGTAAAATCACTCACCCAATTATGGTCTCCTTCTCCTTGCGAATGATAGTAGCCCCCTTTCCTCCTTTTAAAAGGTGGGCCCAAATGGTCACCTGACCGACCATGCCTTGTCACTCTCTCCTTCTTCGCCCTTGAGGATGGTTGTGAGAGCACCTGGGTCCCTATACGGCACATATCCTTTTATATTTTCGGACCTTACATCAAAATTATTGCTGTATACGGTTTTTAGGATTATATTCTACATTACGGTTTGAAATTTGATCTAAATTTTCCGTTGTTTGACATGTGTTTTCATTGTGTTTACATTTGATGAAAACTTGTATTCGTTGTAGGTACCGAGTGTCTGCGGCTGACCCTCATTTATTATGTCCTAATTGCACTATTTCATGTTCTTTCAGCTCTCGCTGTAAGTTTTGTGTAAATTTAACCTCTGTTGAATTTACTAATTAATTACCTTTTTCCATCCATAGACGTGCTAAGGACTGGGTACGAAGGTATTCACAAGTCATGTCTAAATCGAGTGATTGCGCTGATAACCGTGTGTTAACCACTGCTGCAGATATTCATAATTCCAGTGAATTGCTGAACGTTTCTCGGGAGCAGGTCGATGTACCAGTGGTGAACGCCGGAGGCCATAAGAGATCATCGTCTACTGAGCTGACCTCATCGCAGATGAAGAAGGCTAAATCATCATCTTCGCAGAAGAAGAAGGCTACTACCATGAAGACTTCAGCGAAGTCTATGCTCAGCTCTACGCAGAAGACGAGGTCTTTCTCAGCCGAGATTGTTCCTCCGGAAGAAGCAGATGTTTATGATGATCCACCCATCCTCATACCTGAAGTCACCATCGTCAGTAAGAAGACGAAGCCTGCTTCTACAGCTACATCGGCATTGTTATCAGCGCAGACATTGACAGAAGACCTTCTATCAACGCAGACATCGGGTACCAGAGATAGCAGCAGCGTCAACTCTTCACAAGTGCAGCGAGCCTTAGATGACGTCTCTTCAGTATCAGATGCATCATCCCTGCAGCAGTCTCTTCAGACAACGCAGAACTTCAACCCGGGACTGTTCATGCAACAGTTTACAGACCAGATGATGTCGATGATGGAACGTCGCTTCGCTCAGGAGAAGGCTGCTATGAAGACCTCTACAACGACTACTAGACTGCGTGAAGGTTCTACAGTCTCTCCACCGCATCCGGATGAAGAGGGAAGCCTGCGCGAAGGCTCACGGACACGACGATCTTCCCCATCTGAAGTGAGGAGTCTGGACACCGCTACCAACGTCAGTTCAGCCGTAGACGCTCCAGAGATTGCTGCTAAGAAGTCTCCACGCAGGAAGAAATCGAGGCGTTCTCCTGAACCCTACAGACGTCGCAGATATGAGTCTTCATCTCCATCGGACTCTGACGCCCATCGAGAACCTGCGCGAAGGCACTCCTACAGAGGGGAAGCTACGTCCAGAAACCCACCTTCACGAAGACCTAGAGAATCATCTCAAGACTCCAGAAAGGATACACGATCGCATCGGGATCGCTCGCCTGCGCGAAGCTCATCATACAGATCATCCCATAGAGACTCAAGTCGTCGTGGATCCATAGAGCGAGAGATGTCCAAATCAGAGGAAGAAGGTGAAGGCATATTCTCCGATACGGAAGTTAACTCCTGGATCGCCAATGGCTTGGACTTAGCATCACCTTCTAAGGACACAGATGAGGCGTTTACCTACAAGATGTCCAACGATGATTTCGACACGCTCACCTTTCCACCGATCGACCCGATCTCTCAAGTACCAGACAACCTCAGCGCAGCTTTTGATAAAGCCACCAAGTCTCAGAATCAGCACATCCCGACGTTCAACGCCAGGAAATTCCCTCTACATAGGATGGAACCCTTCCTGAAGGCTCCAGAGGTTGATGATGACTACAAGATTATCACCGACTCCCGTCAGAGAACTTACAAGATTGAGGATAAGAAGTTAGCGCAGCTGGATACAACCACCAGACGTACCTTCTTCGGATTAGCCAGATCGAGGGCTATCAACGAAACACTCATCTCGAAGTTCAAGAACTCCTCCGCCGAAGAAGACCGGATGATATACTCCGCTCTACTAATGCAGAAGAGGGACCATCAGTTTATGTCGGAGCACCTAGCATCCACATCAGCGGGCCTGACTCTCCTGAGAAGACAAGGGTTATTGTCAGCATGCACTTGGAGTGAACGCTTCACCAAGTCCTTATACAGAGCCCCATGGTCAGCATCTTACATCTTCGGAGGAGGAATTGAAGAAGTCGCCAGAGAAGTCTCTCACGACTCAAGGGAGGTTATGATGATTAAATCCATCGACACCTTGGCTAATGTGATTCGTCAGACGTCCCAACGCTACTCCAACAAATCTAAGTTTGCAGGAGTCCAGAGAGCCAGAGAAAAGAAGTATTCCAGCATGAAAGGAGGAAGAGGCTCCTTTCGTCGCCCAACCGGAGCTCCTAGAGGTAACCCCGGAAGAGGCCGAGCACCTAGGGGTGCAAGAGGAATCAAGCGCTGAAGGCCAGGTTCGGAACGACTGGAGTCTTCCACCCCCAGCCGTTCCTGTACAACCTTCGACAGTGGGTGGACGTCTTCAACGATACTGGGAAAATTGGGGAATCCTACAAGACGACTACGTGTCCCAGATACTACGCAGAGGGTACAAGATACAGTTGGAAGCCACCCCGCCGCTCACAAGCAACCCGATGGCCTTCAACTATGCAGCCGACCAGATAGAGAAACTGGACGATGCTATCAAGACCCTACTCGACAAAGAGGCAGTAGAAGAGATAGATCAAGATCTCATCACGCCCGGGTTCTACTCCCCAATTTTCCTGGTACCGAAGAAGAATTCCAAGGAGAAATTTCGGCTCATCTACAACATGAGGAAGTTCAACCGGGAGTATCTACGCAGACCAGCAAAATTCAAGATGATACATCTTCCTCAGCTCCGACATCTCGTTCGTCCAGCAGACTACCTCGCCAGCATAGATCTGCAAGATGCGTACCTCCACATCCCGATACATCCAGACTCAAGGAAATACCTAAGATTCCTTTTCAACGGACATCACTTCCAGTGGAAGGTTCTACCGTTTGGAATATCATCGGCCCCCTGGTTGTTTACTTCGAGTGACCAAGCCCATCGTCACATATCTACATCGTCGAGGTCTACGCAGTGCTTTCTACCTGGACGACGGGATTCAAGCTCATCAAGATCCCAGTCAACTCAGACTGCAACTAGACTTCACCATCAGGCTGCTCACTCAACTAGGATGGCTAGTAAATCTCCTCAAGTCGGAACTGGAGCCGAAACAAGATCTGCAATTTCTAGGAATTCGACTCATCACACCAGTGAATCGCATAGTCGTTCCAGAGGATCGTTGGGTCAAGATACAACAGATGATATCTCAAGCATTGCTCTCTCCGTTGACACTACGTGCTTGGCAAAGCATGCTCGGTCTACTCACCTCAGCTCAAGACATGACTCGCAGAGGGAGACTACAGTTGCGCCCACTACAAGTATTTGTGAATGCCCACCTAGACAGCCTAGATCCGTTAATACTACCGGACAGCCTGAAACCATATCTCCTATGGTGGACTCGGAAGTCGAATGTTTGCGGAGGAACCTTTTTGACAGAGCCGGTTTGCAACACTCATCTCTACGTGGATGCCTCCCTACAAGGATGGGGTGCGCACTTCAACAACGAAGTGGCAGCAGGGAAGTGGTCGAGTCAGGATCAGAAGTCACACATCAATCTGTTGGAGATGAAAGCAGTAATCAACGCTTTACAACATTGGTCCAGCGTACTAAAGAACGCACGACTCATGGTACACACGGACAACTCCACAGTGGCGTTTTACATCAACAAACAAGGGTCAACAAGATCAACAAGTCTGCTACAACTCAGCTTTCTCCTGTTCAGCATAGTCGACGACCTGAACATCTACATGAAGGCATGCCACATTCCGGGAGCAAAGAATGTCATAGCAGATGCCCTATCTCGTCCACTACAACCATCCCCGACGGAATGGATGTTGCATCCAGAAGCATTCCAGTTCATCAGACAGACTATAGGATCCCCACTAATAGACCTGTTTGCAACAAAGTTCAACAAACAGCTACCAACATTCGTCTCACCGATTCCAGATCCTCAGGCATGGGCAACAGATGCTCTAAGCATCTCATGGGAAGGACTAAACGCTTACGCGTTTCCGCCTCCTGCACTGCTACCACAAGTACTACAGAAAATCAAGCAGACGACTACGTTGCAACTGATTTTGGTCGCGCCCTATTGGCCAGCGAGGGTATGGTTTCCCATCCTCATACAAGAACTCGGAAGTCCAACCCTGAAACTACCAGAGTGGTCGAACCTACTCGTCCATCCACACACCAAGCAAGCTCACGGGAACCCGACACTGTTCCAGCTACACGCGTGGAGCGTATTAAAGCTTGCCTGAAGACTAGAGGGTACTCCGCCAGAGCAGCGAAAGCAGTTACACTAGCTCTACGCAGATCAACTCGCAACTTGTACGACGACAAGTGGCAGAGATTTGAACAATATGCAAAGAGGAAAGGCTTTACAGCGGTGAAAGCAACACATCCTCAAGTGGCGGAATACTTATGTCATCTACGACAGACGAGACACTTAAAAGGTTCAACACTCTCAACTTACTTAGCTGCCCTCAGTACAGTTATCACCATGAAAACGGGTATCAAGCTGACCAAAGTACCAGAGATTCTGGCACTACTACGCTCGTTCAAGTTGGAAGACCAACAAAAGAAATTTAAGGCTCCTGCCTGGGATCTCAACATAGTTCTACAACATCTCACCAGTGATGCCTACGAGCCTCTAGAACGGACATCCTTTGAACTACTAACTCAGAAAACGCTGTTCCTGATCGCCCTAGCAACAGCTGCAAGGATGTCAGAAATACATGCTCTGGACTTTGAACGAACACGATTTGAATCAAGACATCGTGACATCGTACATCTTGGACTGAGATGGGATTTTATCGCCAAGAACCAACTGCCTGGTCAGCCTGACAGACAGTTCCACATCCCAGCACTATCTACAGTCCTTGGGCCACAGGATACGCAGGATCTATCCTTATGCCCAGTCAGAGCACTTAAAGTCTACTTACAGAGAACTAAAACAAGGAGACGAAAATTCAAGCGCCTATTCATCCCCTTATCCACTGAGACGCCCACGGAAGTCTCTCGGACAACGATATCGATCTGGATGAGAGCCGTTATACTAAGGGCCTATAAAGCAGCAGGACTTGAGCCTCCACGAGCCTCCAACCCACATGAAGTCAGAGCCCTGGCGTCAACACTTGCTCTGCATGGAAACTGCTCGATTACAACTATAATGGAGGGCTGCTTTTGGAGATCGAACACAGTGTTTGCCAACCACTACCTCAGAGACATTGCCACTGAAGACGTCTCAGGCATTCACCAGTTTGGGCCACTTGTTGTAGCACAACAACTAACGGTTCCACAAAGGCGCTGAGTAAATCTCACCCCTTTTATCACGTGACTTGTGAAAACCAACGCTCTGGAGAGCAATGGCTATAAGTCCATGCACACGTCTAGGACAGACTAGCATGAGTGATAGACCCTGTACTTGTATAGGACATACTTGTACATGAAGAAGGGTCGCATCTCCACTTGATGCGCGCATCAAGAGATGGAGTTGCAATAGATAACTAATGGAATATTAGTATATCTAAAATCCACACGAAAATGTCAGGAGAAGTTTCGGAAGAAATCTGACAAGTTGTGGTTCCCCCAGACTCATCAGAGAGAAGTTGAAAGAACAGAATCTTCAACAGTGCCGTCATAAGTTCCCAAGGGGGGTAATACAGGACGTAAATCTACAACCAGTGAATCCAGAACGTGGCCTGACCCACCACCGTTTCCGACGGATTCTGCAAGCATAATTAGCATGAGTCAGGATAAGGAAAAATATGTAATTTTCTGACTAAAATTGATATTTTATACTTATCCTGACTCATGAGGTTAGCCCTCCCAACCTCCCCTCTTATGGCACTCTGGATTTCCCTGTAAATCCGGGTGTCGAGAGTGACAAGGCATGGTCATCAGGGAGAGAGTGACAAATATGGCAAGGAGGCAACTCATGTGACCATTTGGGCCAAAAGAGGGAGGAAAGGGACGCAAGTGTTCCTCATTGTGAGTGAGTGATTTTACGTCCGCTTTTTAGAAGGGAACTTCAAGGGATTTCAAGTGTTCCACTATCATTCGCAAGAGGGAAGGAGACAAGCATAATTAGCATGAGTCAGGATAAGTATAAAATATCAATTTTAGTCAGAAAATTACATCTCACTCTGCCTCTGTGATGATGTCCAGGTACTCGTGGGTCAGTGATTATGTTGTTGAGGACAAGTATCGCTGGTCTGACAAGCCGACACTGTCTGACTTAATTCCGCTGGAGACAAAGCGAGGCTCAAATGCTCCTCCTGGTGGCAAATGGCAGAAACGTCTCATCATCGGTCACAATGTGGGTTTTGACAGATCCTTTGTGAAAGAGCAATATTATACACAGGTAAGTACATCTACATAAATACCAGGATACAATTCCAAATATTGACCTGAAAATATATTATAAATGTTGCCAGGAGACAAGATGGGGATCAATAGAATCGAAGGTTTTACCTGCAGATTTTTGAAGAACCTGGATTTTTCAATGGTAGTCACAGTTGTATGTTATATCCTAATTTTCTTCTCTCAGGGACATTTTTGTGTTTGAAATACTAAATTTTGAGACCTGAAAAGTGCTGTCCCATAATGTATGCATGGTATATAACTCTTATCACCTTTCTCAGCTCAGATTCCTTCTTCTCTTCTTTCCCAGCCCAAACCAATACGCTTTCTAGACACAATGTCGATGCACATCGCGATCTGCGGGCTCACCAACTTTCAGCGGATCCTGTACCAGGCAAGTGGGGGAAGGAGCATGAGGAAGGAGGTTCTGGAACACAAGGAGAAGCATCAGAAGTGGCACAGCGACACGGTTAGTTGGGGTCACTGGCTTCGACAATACATTTTGAAAATGACTTTGGATGTACCAGTGATATTAACTGTGAATACTCCCATTTGAATATACCTATGGCGTTGGCTTTGAATATAATACTCATTTACTATGAGTGAGTGAGTTGGGTTTGATGCTGCTTTTAGCAATATTCCAGCAATATCCCGCCAGGGGACAACAGAAATGGTTGTCACATTGTACCCATTTGGGGAATCGAACCCGGGTCTTCGGCGTGACAAGCCAACGCTTTAACCACTAGGCTAACCCCCCGCCACATTGGCTATGAATATACCTATGACATTGGCTCCGAATATACCTGACATCGGCTCTGAATATACCTGTGACATTGGCTCTGATTATACCTGACACTGGCTCTTAATATCAGTGACTTTGAATATTCTATAATGACAGTGGCTTTCATTCACTGAATTACTCCGATCTGATCTGTGACCCAGAGTGAGGACTGGAAGAGGATCAGTACCATGAACAACCTAAATGACGTGTACCAGCTCCACTGCAAGGCAGGGCCACTGAAGAAAGCCACGAGGGAGGTGTTCATCGAGGGCACCATGCAGGATGTCCGGGATCAGTTCCAGGTAGTTGCCACACAAACATGTACAGTGAGATACATCCATAACACACTAGCATCTATGTCTAGAATGTGAGGAATATTTATCAGAAAACATTTTATCTGTGTCTCAGCATTCTGCTGACAAGGCAGATTCTGTTGTCACAGATGCCACCCCGTGTACCATGGTGTCACAGCAGCCATAGTGTCAGTACTCACACTGGGTTCTCATGTCGGGAAACTTACTGATTAGTGTGAGTGCCTTGTGACAATATTGTCATTCAGTTTCAGATGTTCTTCATGTTAATGAGACTTCAGTGCACAGAAAATATGTTTGTTCCTGCATAGATACTTACGAAAACTCCCATAAATCCGGACCCTCTGTCCTTATAGACCCTTGAAGATCCGGGTTAGAACTGATTTTCATCAACCCATGCTTGTCGTAAGAGGGGACTAACAAGATCTGGTGGTTGGACTCTCTGATTTGGTTGACTCATGTCATCGGTTCCCAATTGCGTAGATCGTCCCTAGTAACCAATGATTCCAGTGTAGAATTGGTCCATAGTAACCAATGGTTCCAGTGTAGAATTGGTCCATGGTAACCAATGGTTCCAGTGTAGAATTGGTCCATAGTAACCAATGGTTCCAGTGTAGAAGTGGTCCATAGTAACCTAGGGTTCCAGTGTAGAATTAGCCCCTAGTAACCAATGGTTCCAGTGTAGAATTAGCCCTAGTAACCAATGGTTCCAGTGTAGAAATGGTCCATAGTAACCAATGGTTCCAGTTTAGAATTAGTGTGTAGTAACCAATGGTTCCAGTGTAGAATTGGTGCCTAGTAACCTGTAGTTTCAGTGTAGAAGTGGTCCATAGTAACGAATTGTTCGTCGTAGAATTGGTTTGTAGTAACCGAAGGCTCCAGTGTAGAATTGGTGCCCAGTTTTTGTAAGAGTGTATTAAATTGGATTGGGCCCAGACTTCGTGAAGGTCTGTTATTTCTTCATTCCTCACGATATGGAATGCTGGTCATGAGGTTGTCAGAGGTTTGTCTGGCCTAGACTTGATTATTGATATGTTTATTGGCTGATATGTCTTTGCTGAGATATTGCTGTATGTATATTCAAACACTCACATGTGCAATGTCTACAGGAGCTGATGGTGTACTGTGCCAATGATGTGCTGGCTACTCAAGCTGTCTTCCGTAAACTCTGGCCACAGTTCCTACAGAGGTGCGTCTGACACTGAGTCCTGGCTCCGATTTCTTGAAACAAACTTAAGTTTTTACTCAAATTTCAAACTGAGTTTGACAATTAAAAACAGCTGATTCTTTTTTATATATTCCTCCTTGGGGTACTTATAAGCATTTAAATGTCCATTTAAAATCCCTACGACAGTTGTAACAATATTTGAATAAAATATTTACAAAACAAAAACTACGTTTTGTCTTGTGAGACCACCCTTACAGGGCCCTCTGGCCCCCTACAGCCAAGAGCAGGTAACTCTAGACCGTAACCTCGCACCTCACTTTCCATGCTGTCGTTTCCCGACATAGACGTGGGTCCATTACAAGAAAGTTTTCTTTTCCCGGCGAGAATTATGAGTGGGTCAGAAACAGCAATTGTATGTATGGTTCTCTTTTTTCCCTGCATGGGCGATTTGAAGACTTGTTCTGAACTTTTTCATTCATAATTTTTAGTTGTAACTTGGTACCTGTCGCGGTCGGCTCGCCGGGTGCGTGCCAAGATGGCGGCCAGGTACCTTCGCTAGCATCACTGTTCATTGGTTTCCCGTGTGGTTTTTCAATGTTACAGGTGGGGTTAGTAATTTTTACGTATATGTGGTTACATGTAGGGCGTTTCCACTGCTTGCATTTTCTATCTTACGATATAAAAAGTCGTAGTTATGTCAGTGCGTATTATGGTTATTGTCAACTGTATGCTACGTTGTCGCATTAGTTGTGTCGCCCATGCGTGTTTTTTCATATATGTATGTGTGTATGGGGTTGATTGCTGCACAGGTTGTTTACTTGTTGCAGTTTAAATCCTGTACTTCGTGCCTTGCGGCCATTCCCGTCAAGGACACACACGAGGTCTGCTTACGTTGCCTCACCCAAACTGACCATGAGGAAGAGGGGTGTGTGGCATGTGCCACTTTTACACCTCAAACGATTAGAGCACGACGAGCGGATCTGCTGTTCTACAGCAATCTGATTCGGCCGGGGGGTGATATCTGGGCACAGGATCCCCCGTCCAAACGTTCACACAAAAAGGGGTCTCACGGGGCAGCCGCCCCATCTCGGAGCCGGCTCCCAAAAGAGCTAAAGGTTCCAAGGAGGCATCTAATACCAAACCTCAACTTGCTCCTGTCTCTTCCCCCTGTTGTGTAGCCGGCACCAGTTGTGCCCGTTGAATCACTAACCGCTTTATTCCAGGAACAGATGGCGTCAGTGAAATCTCTCATTGATACGGGCGTTGGATGGGTTCCGTAAGGAGCTCACCAGCGCCGTCGTGGGGTGGATCTGACGCGCATCTGTGGGGTTAACTCGCGGCCCGAGCTTAGGCTCGGGAACAGCCGGCCCCTGGGCAGCTTGATCCCGGCGGCTTAGGCCGCGGCGCCGACACCTAAGGGCTTACCTCGCCTCGGGGCGTAGGTCCGTCACAGGTGGCTGGCGCCCGGCGATGCAGGGTTGCCCTGGCTTCGCCAGGTGCCCTGACTGGCAGTCGCCGGCACTGCCCAGCTTCGAGGACACCTCGGCCTGGCAGCCAGTCTGGGTTGCCGGGGAGGCCTGTCGCGGCAGGTTCCTCTCGGCGCCTCGGCGACTTGGGCGAAGTTCTGCCCGCTGGGCGACTCGTTGCTTCTGGCCTCTTGACCTTTATGGTCTTTTCGGGTTCAGCCTCTGGTATATCCTCGGCGGTCTCTCAGGAGTATGAGAGTACGGCTGCCGAGGATTATGCCGAGGTGGACATGGAGGACGATGGAGGGAGGGAGGAGCGGGGCGGGAGTGCCGTACTCCTTTGGCTCGTCTCTGAGGCAGGTGCGGGAAAAAATTGCCGAAGCCCTGCCCCAGGTGGCCGTTCCCACACAGGCGCTCGACCCCGCGGAGTTTCGGCTCCCGGGGGAGGCTTTTGCGCCTACCAAGGTCGCCGAGGCGCGCCTACGCATCCTACCATCACTGGTAGGTGAGGTGGTAAATCCTCTCTTAACTGGTTCTCGCTCGAGATTTGATCTGCCAGACGTTGGCAGGAGGTACCAGTTGGGGGAGGAGACGCTATTCGAACCACCAGTGGTGGACGAGTGCGTCTTTGCCTCAGTCACGTTAGGGGGGTCGTCCTCGTCTTCCCTGGCCTCGGCCAGGCAGGGCAGGCGCCTCCCCCCTTTTCCTGCTAATTCACTGCCGCTGAAGTCTGCGTACCGGTCATTCGAGGAATGTTACCGGTGCGCGGCCCAGCACCTCAAAGTAGCAGTCCACTGGCCTACCTGTCTGCACTGCAGGGACAGCTGGTGGCTCACAGCGCTTGGCGCCGACTCATCGAGTCGGTGCTGTAGCGCCCAGCTCACGGAGGTACACTCGCATCTGGCTAGGGATAGCATTCGGTGCTGTGCCAGCCAGATGATGGGTGCCGTCATGGGCTTGCGCCGCCTGTGGTTGTCTGTGGCGCGGTATTCGCCGGCCACACAACAAGCGCTCCTGTCATTGCCCTATACCATGGGATCCTCCCTGTTCCCTGGGGCATTGCAGGTAGTACGGGAGGCCGCGGAGGCTGTCTCTACCTTCAAAGACTCAAAGCCTTTGTTGGAGCAGCCCTCCGCTCCTCGCCAGCGGCCTTCCCCGCTTGCGTCCGCTTATCCTTCTGTCCCGGCGAAGGATGTTGCTAAGTGGACTGCCCCTTTGCAGTCCAAGCAAGGGCAAGCCTGCTCAAGCGCAGCAGCCTTTTCGGGGAAAGGGGAAGCCAGCCCCGGCTTCCCGCTGATTCCTTCCCCAGAGCCCTTATTGCCCCCCACTCACGCAAGCGGAGACTTGCCGACTGTGGGGGTGCACTGCCTCCTGCCACACGTCCCTGTCGGCGGCCGGCTGTCCCTATTCCTCCAGGAGTGGGAGGCAGCCACCTCAAATCCCTGGGTCCTGTCCACGCTCAGGGATGGCCATTTGCCACAGTGGAGGCGGTAGATCCTCCGTCCTTCTCCGGGGTTCGGCACTGCGCCTGTGCCGACCTCCGCGACAAGCGCGGGCCGCAGCTCGATGCCGAAGTTCAGTCCTTACTGAACAAGGCAGCCATCGAGTGTGGTTCCTGTGGGTCAACAAGGAGAGGGGTTTTATTCCACCTACTTCCTAGTGACCAAAAGGGCCGGAGGGTTCAGACCCATTCTGAATCTCAGAGGTTGAACCAGTTACTGGAGGTGCCGTCTTTCAGGATGGAGACACTCAGGTCAGTGATCTCCTCCGTCGAGACAGGGGATTGGCTTACGTCAATCGATCTCAAAGGCGATACCTCCATGTTCCAATGCACCCGAGTTCAAGAAGTACCTCCGTTCTCCTTCGACGGGACGTGCTACCAGTTTCGCGTGCTCCTTCGGCATCTCCACGCGCGCCAAGGGTGTTCACCAAACTTATGCTAATCCCAGCTCAGTTAGCCAGGTCTCAGGGCAGGTGTTGTCACCCGCACCTGGACGATTGGCTTCTCAGGGCCTTAGGTCCTCAGTTAAGCAGAGCCTCCACACTGTGCGTGCTGGATACTCTGGTGTCACTGGGCTGGATTATCAACCTCAAGAAATCAGACCTCGTTCCGGCCGCAGGGATCTGATATTCTTGGGGCAAAGATTCAACACGAGCTAGGGATTGTTTCCCTTGCCCCGGACCGCATCGTCAAAGTCCAGAGCACAGTTTCTCCAGTCGCCCAATGCGTCAGCCCGAACATGGCTTCGGTTGCTAGGCAACATGGCAGCGACAGTGGACGTGGTTTGGCGTGCGCGTCTGAGGATGCGACCAGTTCAGCAAGCGTTAAGCGCAGCTGTGGTCCCACTCGCAGAGCTACGAGATTATTCTCACAACGCCCGAGTGGTTAATTCCTCACTTGCGATGGTGGACGGAAGTCGGGAATTTGTCAAGGGGGATCCCCCTCGACACCCCGACACCTTCCCTCTCAGTTCAGACGGACGCCTCCCTCACAGGTTGGGGGGGGGTCCTGGGCGAGCACTCAGCCTCCGGCCTCTGGTCGGAGCGGGAAGTCAGCCTACACATCAATGTGTTAGAACTGAGAGCAGTCCGCAGGGTGTTCGAGTGCTTCCGAGTGTTGGTGCAGGGCCATGTGGTTCGATCTAGAAATGGACAATCAAACGGCCATGTCTTACATTCTCAAGCAAGCGGCACAGTGTCTCCGTCCGCTCCTTCAGGAGGCGTGGCAGTTTCTACTGTGGTGCGGTCAGTTCAACATTCGGGTTTTGCCTGTTTATCTCCGGGGTAGACAGCGTCCGTGCAGATGCACTCTCACGGCGTATACACGAAAGTGGATGCTTTCGACCGAGATATTCGGGATTATCTCCCAGTTGTTCGGTCGTTCCAGGTGGATCTGTTTGCGTCTGGGGTGACGAACCAGATTCCTGTGTTTTGCTCCGGATTCGGATCCGGGAGCGTTAATAACGGCGCCTTTCAGCTCGATTGGACGGACAGGGTACTGTGGGCGTTCCCCGATACCACTGATTTCCAGGGTCCTGTCACAGCTGACCGCACAACCAGCTCGGCTACTTGTGCTTCTGGCACCCCTTTGGTCGGCACAACGCTGGTTTCCGTAATTCTCAGGTTTCTGGCTCAGCCTCCTGTTCTATTACCTTTTCGACCGACCTCCTATCCCAGAGCGGAGCTTCACCCGAATCCCAGGATTCAGTGGGTGGCCTGGCAGCTGTCAGGGATCGCCTCCACGTCGCGGCGGAATTCCTGCACCAGTTGCAGACACAATTCTGGCTTCAGCGGAGGGATTCGACAAGCGTTCAATATGAGGATAGATGGGCCTGTTATTCGCTGGTGTGTCAACAGGGGATTCTTGATCCCTTTTCTACAGATTTAGTCTGTGTTTTAGAATTCCTCCAGTCTCGGTTGGGCGCCGGTCTAGCGGCTTCAGCGGTTCGAGGATATTCTACAGCTATTTCTGCGTTTCATATACCTGTTGACGGTGCTCTCTTGGGGCAGCACCCTCTGGTACAGCGCTTTTTAGCAGGCGTGGACAGAATCCGT